GATTGGGAAATTCCATAATGACTTGAAGTCTGCTGAGATGCTGAAGGCTGAGGCTCCCGAATATTGAGGAGAGTAAGGGAAATGGATGCTGAGGAGAAATTTGAGCTTCCAGAATGAAGAATAAGACTGCTGTTAAGATCTGTCTGAGATTCACTGCAGGGGGAAGAGCTGGTCATATTCTCCCTGACACCTCATTTTCCCATGTATAGCCCAGATCAGACCCTAAGAGATAACTGCTTTTTGGGTTACTGAGGTACATTTTGTGGACCGTTTTTCAGAACATTATCACTAATAAGAGTCTCTTCTCAATGAAAACAGGTTGAACTCGTAGGAGATTATTTATATACCCAGAACAAGAGAGGAGAAATAGAGATATTATAGGAATTTGATTTGTCTGTTTACAGCTCTCCTAAATTATTTTATTTTGTGCAGAGTTCAGTCATTTATGTATAAAATATGAAAATCTCTTCATCTCCCTCTGCCTCATAATATAAAACAAAAACAAAACAAAAATCAAAATCCTCTCTCCTTACATATATATTTATAGAGGAAACATAAAAATTTAGAAATATATACAGAGAGGGAAGTTATTTTATTTTTGTTTTTAACTAAAAGACAAATAACATTTTTTTTTTAGTAAGCAGGACCTCGTTACTGGTAAGGTCTGAGTTAATTGCCATTCGTAGAGTAACCATGGTGACCAGCATGTTGCTTCTGAGCCCATTAATCTTGTTGAGGTTAACAGTAAATCCCAAAGGATCTTTTGCAGTGATTCAGAAATAAATCATCTTCTCACATGTATGTTATTTGGTGACAGCACTTTCTTTAAATATGTCTCCCTAACAGACAAAGAAATAAGACAATCCCTAATGAGGTGATAAAAACCCATTCCCAAATAAGAAATTTTACAAAATATAGCAAATGACTGAAAAAGTAGATACATAGAAATGACACATGAAAGGAGGATTCACTCAATAAACATGTACCATACTCCTAATAGACATGCCAAAAAAGGCCATTTACTCCTTCTTAGTAATGTATCTGTACAGGACCTCAGCCTTGACGTATAAACAGGAGACAAAATTTGAGATTCTTCAATGAAAAAAACTCAAATTATGTTTTAGATTATAGAAATTAGAAAGGATGAGTTGACCTGGACTGAGGAAGAGAAACAGCTGGCTGCCCAAGCTAGGGCTAATAATGTTTTATATTTGTGAAAAGGTGTTTGCGACGTAGAAAGTAGAGCATGACCCTACCTTAAACCACATTTGTCCTACAACATCCCCAGAGATTAAGTACAAAATGTGGTGGCCTCATTTTACAGATGAAGATGCTGAGGCTACAGAATGCAGAATGACTTTCCCATACTCAGTATTAGCACTTTCTTTTAAATGAGCTGAATAAAATTGTTAGGATTCTGAGTTGGAAGGGTTGGGGATTGGGTTTTCATCCCAACATTCTTCTGCCGTTAATTCATATTACACACAACTCTGGGTCTTTCTCAACCCATGAGGTTTATATTTTCTCATCTTCAAGTATTCCTGAGCTAAAGGAATAATCCAAGCTCTCATTTCAACCTAGGTCTTCATACCTAAAAGAAATACCAAGAAAACAATAGTGTTTTACAGAAGCTAAGATGCACAATTACTCATATTTTAACATCTCTGAAATTGGGATGTGTCTTACAATAAATGACATTGTAATTGCTGATGCTGTATGAGAAATGGATTCCACTGCCTGTACATGCACCAACATGGTCATAGCTGTGTATACTGTCCTTACCTCAACTGAGTGGTGGAACTGTTACAACGTAGGTAGAAAGTTATTGTGTATGCGGGAGGTGGGTATCAGTTTGATGTTAGGGATGTGAACACCCATTTGGAGTAATGACCATCATTTCACATTTCCCTGCAAAGCAACATGTTGGTGCTCTACAGGTCTTAAGGGAAGATACCCACAAGCAGAAGGGTATGTTGACTTATTGAGGTAGTCATAGGATGATCATCTTTCATGAACAAAGCAACTGAAGACAGAAAGAATTACTAAATCCCTCAGAATACATGAAAAAAACTTCAAAGTAACAAGAAGCTGATGTAACTGACAAGTATGTCTAGCAGGACAATTGTTAACCATTGTATCATAATTTCATAGGCTGCTGCTTTTTGTTCGTGGCCATTCGTAAAGTAATTTTTAATCTTATAATACACGCCATCTTAGATTCTATGATATGTAGTAATTCATAAATCAGTCAGCATGGTTCTGTTCCCCTGTAGCTGGTGATTGGGCTTTGCCTAAAGCTACTCTGTTGATGGCGGACTTCATCAGAAAGTCCAGAGTCCAAAAACAAATCTTATTTGATTAACCAACTCTGGCAAATTAATGTTTTGTTCACTTCAACACAAATGTCTCAGACCACAGTTGATATTTGATTAAAAAGAGAAATTGTCTCCAATGGCTCTTGAAGCTTTTAAGGTAACAGTTCTTTATAATTCCCTAATTACAGAAAGTGTTCATTTTTAATTATTGGCAATTTAGGACATTGCGGAGGTTACAGTAAAATATTTCTGATATAGGTACAATTGGAAAGGGGGATGGTTCTGATGTAATCATGGCATCCCAAAATTATACACACACACAGTATAAACAGGGAATGTTGTGTATGCATAGATGTATAATCTATCTCTGTGGCCTCCGAAGACCCCATGAGTTATTATGCTAGAACTGAGAGACTCAGACATGTTTAATGGCAGAAGCAAGCATTCCATTAACTTGGTTAAAGAGTACAAATCAGCTAGCTGAGTTGTTTCTTCTTTACCTTCACAAAAGTGCACCCCGGCCCAGTTTAAGTTTCTACAATCAGGGGTGCAGCAGGAAGAGTTTAACTAGGTCAGAAGAGTGCTAAATTTTTTCAGGCAAGCATTTGTCCTTGGTAAATTCAGTAAGCCATGCTATTACATACCAGCCCCAGCCTCTTCCTTACGCAAGTATGACACTCTCCTGTGACTCCTGTCTCCCCAGCTTCATTCTGCGAATTTGTGTTCTAGCTGTGTGCCAGGATAAGAACTTTCTCCACTAACATAGGGGCTCTCAACCTAGGGCCTTTCCAGGCATAGGCCAAGCCTTGGCTAACAAGACCTAAAGGAGCAAAGGGATAATTTTTTTTAATTACCTAAGGAAATCGGATTAGATTTGAATTCCTTTGAAAGAACCTTTGGAATTTATTTATACAACTATCTTAGCACTTGAGATTTAAGATGTGTCCAGGTATAGAATATTTTTTACATCTTAATTCACTCTGAATTCATCATTTTTCATATGCCCCACTCATAAGATGAGGTAAGTGAAAAGTATAGATTTTGAATGTCTGCCTTTATTTTCCCAGTTTATAGATACATACTGAATGTGACTATTGCTAGAGGAATGTATTATTCTCTTAGGTGTCAGAATTAGAAAGGTCACATCCCCAGATTTTTCTGATAAAATATGCTGCACCTTGAGACGCTTACATGGAACCAAAGGTATCTTTCACCAGATATTTTAATCTCATTTGAAAACTTGTACTTGGTTCAGGGAAGTACTCTGAAATAAGACCCTATCTGCCTTTTAGCTCTCTTCTTTCTTCTCGGAAGGGAGAAATAGTGATGACATCTCATTAAAAGCTCTCCTGCTGCAGTTTAAACCTATTTGCTTTCATTCTGTCTTCAAGCTGAGAACAGCTCATCACTATTTTCTATGTAAAAATCCTGAAGTATTTGACAATTGCTAGTAAGAACATGCCAAGCTTCTCTTTTTGACACTTTACAAATCCCTTTATTAAACTTACATCATTTGTTTAGCTTCTCTCTCTCTCTCTCTCTCTCTCTCTCTCTCTCTCTCAGCCACCCACTGGGTGATATGTCTTTCCCACCTATCTTGAATTGTTATCAAATAAGAACGTGGCCAATAAAAAGGGAGGATTAAAGAACATGGCTTCCTTTCAGCTTCCTCTCTGAAATGATAAAAAATACACTAGAACTTCACTTCTCAAACTTGTAATGAGTAGTACAGATATATGTTTAAGAGCACAGGCTTGAAAGCTTTACTGCCTGCGTTTTGATTTCCAGATCTACCACTTTACTAGCTGAGTTGTCTTAGGCGAATTTTTTAACCTTTCTGTGCCTCATTTTCCTCAACTATAAAATGAGGATCATGATATTATCTCTCTTGAGTTCTCTAAGGATTAAGTTAAGGTAACATATATAAAGAGTTTAAAACAGTACCTGCAAATATTAACTATTATAGTTATCAACTAAGTTTCAAAATCAAAATTTGTTTATGTGCATTATGATCCATACCAGAAGCTTATTCTGAATCCTAGATATCCTGTTTATAGTAACCTAAAACACCAGCTCATTGTATTATAATTTTGATATTAATCAACCTGGCATTTTTCTCTTAAAAATGTAAGGCATGAGTATATTAGTTCTTATAACGCTTTTTTAAAATATTATCATTACCCCCAGATTTCCTAACCCAATTGTCTTAGCTCTTTAAGTTGTGACTGTAACAAGGTAAAAATTCTTTTCTATGATGGGCTATAAATAGTGACCAACCATCTCAGGTTTCTTGGAACTGAGGGGTTTCTTGGGGCATAGGACTTTTACTGCTAAAACTGGGAACATCTTGGGTAAACTGGGATGGTTGGCCACTCACTCCAGGTATAAAAGTACTGTATAAGGTGGAGTAGAAGGGGGAAAGGAAGAAGCAGTAGTAATATTAATCTCACCAAACACAGAAGAATTCTAAATACAACACCACCATTCCCCTGATTTTTGACTCATGCAACCCCTGATGAGTATCTGAAGGGTAAAATTGCACTGAACAAATTAATTCTAAATGTCAGGTATTTGGGCTTCATTTTTTGCTGTTATCGTCATCTGCGGAATATATTTCTTCTCCTTCATTTTATGCTGTTGCACTTTCCTCTGATCATTTTTTTGCCTTTTTTTTTTTTCTTGTAGGTCAACTCAAATCAAAACATACTCATGGGATAATGCCCAGGTTATCCTGGTTGGGAACAAATGTGACATGGAAGATGAGCGAGTCATCTCAACTGAGAGGGGCCAACATTTAGGAGAACAGCTTGGTAAGAAACAAATGATCAAATTAATGAGAAAGAGAGCATGGTAATTACTTGTAACACAGTGCAGAGTCCCAGCTACTTGCTAGGATGGATTTAATGAAAAGATTGTCAACCCAACAGTAGAAACCAACACATCACCTGTAAGTAGTAAGTGGATTTCCTCCCACTTTCTGTGGTATCCTTAGAATCCAAGCACAATTACAGAAGCAAAATAGACAGCCAGCATTTGGATTTAGTACAAGATGTTCAAATTCCATTGCATAAGAAAGACAGGATGTGCCTTGCTTGCTATTTCTTTGGGGTTTTTTTCTCTATATACGATATTTTATACTGAGTGAGCACTTGATTATGCTATATGCTTGTTGTCTTCAAGTTTCCATTGGAGGAGGGTGGGTAATAGGCACAGAATAGGCCATGTTATAGATTCCGGTTCTAGAGACACCACTGGCAATGTGTGTTACAGTTACAAACCTCTTTGAAATTCAGTTTCCTCATCTCTTAAGAATGAGTATTATGACCCATGCCTACTTTACCAAGTCCTTGTAGATAAGATCAACTGAGATAAGAGATAGATATGAAAGAGTTTTAGAAATGGCAAGGCCATTTCAAACGCAAAACATTGTATGTAGGGGAAAAAATGCTTGAGTGAGTAGGGTAGAGTTTTGGTGCAAAGGAGGGAATCATGATTGATTGATTTTTTTAAAAATAATTTTTATTGGAGTATAGTTGACTTACAATGTTGTGTTAGTTTCAGGTGTACAGCAAAGTGAATAAGTTATACATGTACATATATCCACTCTTTTTTAGATTATTTTCCCATATAGCTCATTATAGAGTATTGAGTAGAGTTCCCTGTGCTATACAGTAGGTCCTTATTAGTTATCTATTTTATATATAGTAGTATGTATATGTCAATCCCAATCCCCCAATTTATCCCTCCCCCCTTTTCCCTCTAGTAACCATAAGTTTGTTTTCTACATCTGTTTCGGTATTGTAAATAAGACTCTATTTCTGTTTTGTAAATAAGTTCATTTGTACCATTTTTTAAGATTCCACATATAAGCGGTATCATATGATATTTGTCTGTCTCTGATTTACTTCACTCAGTATGACAATCTCTACGTCCATCCATGTTGCTGCAAATGGCATTATTTTGTTCTTTTTATGGCTGAGTAATATTCCATTGTATATATGTACCACATCTTCTTTATCCACTCCTCTGTCGATGGACATCTAGGTTGCTTCCATGTCTTGGCTACTGTAAATAGTGCTGAAATGAACATTAGGATACCTTTTCAAATTATGTTTTTCTACAGATATATGACCAGGAATGGGATTGTTGGATCATGTTGTAGTTCTATATTTAGTTTTTTAAGGAACTTCCACACCGTTCTCCATAGTGGTTGTACTGATTTACATTCCCACCAAGAGTGTAGAAGGGTTCCCTTTTCTCTACACCCTCTCCAGCACTTATTGTTTGTAGATTTTTTGATGATGGCCATTCTGACTGTTGTGAGGTGATTGTAGTTTTGTACAACTACTCATTGTAATTTTGATTTGCATTTCTCTAATAATAGTGATGTTGAGCATCTCTTCATGTGCTTTTTGGCTATCTGTGTGTCTTCTTTGGAAAAATGTCTATTTAGATCTGTCCATTTTTTGGTTGGGTTGTTTGTTCTTTTGATATTTAGCTGCATGAGCTGTTTGCATATTTTGGAAATTAATTCCTTGTTGCTTCATTTGCAAATATTTTCTCCCATTCTGTTTGTTGTCTTTTCATTTTGTTTATGGTGTCCTTTGCTGTGCAAAAGCTTTTAAGTTTCATTACGTCCAGTTTGTTTATTTTTGTTTTTATTTTCATTACTCTAGGAGGTGAATTCAAAAAGATATTTCTGTGATTTATGTCAAAGAGAGTTCTGTGTTTTCCTCTAGGAGTTTTATAGTATCCAGCCTTACATTTAGGTCTTTGATCCAATTTGAGTTTATTTTTGTGTTTGGTGTTAGGGAGTGTTCTAATTTCATTCTTTTACATGTAGCTGTCCAGTTTTCCCAGCACCACTTATTGAAGAGACTGTCTTTTCTCCATTGTATATTCATGGTTGCTGGTTTTGATATCATATTTGTGTGTGGATGATTTTTTACCACTACTTTATGTTTGCCTTTACCAGTGAGCTTTCCCACTTGTGATTTTCTTGTTTCTAGTTGTGGCCTTCCCCCCACACACACACACCTAGAGAAGTTCCTTTAGCATTTGTTGTAAGGCTGGTTTGGTGGTGCTGAATTCTCTTAGCTTTTGCTTATCTGTAAAGCTTTTGATTTCTCTCTCAAATCTGAATGAGAGCCTTACTGGTTAGAGTAATCTTGGTTGTAGGTTTTGCCCTTTCAACACTTTAAACATATCGTACCTCTCTGTTCTGGCCTGCAGAATTTCTGCTGAAAAATCAGCTGTTAACCTTATGAGGATTCCTTGTGTGTTATTTGTTGCTTTTCCCTTGTTGCTTTTAATATTTTTTTCTTTGTCTTTAATTTTTGTCAATTTGATTACCATGTGTCTCGATGTGTTCCTCCTTGGGTTTATCTTGTATGCGACTCTCTGCACTTCCTGGACTTGGATGAGTGTCTCCCTTTCCCATGTTAGGGAACTTTTTAGTTATAATCTCTTCAAATTTTTTCTCAGGCCCTTTTCCTTTCTATTCATCTTCTGGGACCTCTATATTGCAAATATTGGTGCATTTGCTGTTGTCACAGAGGTCTCTGTGACTGTCCTCATTTTTTTTTTCAGTTTTCTTTATTCTCTTCTATGGCAGTGATTTCAAACACTCTGTCTTCCAGCTCACTGTGTTCTTCTGCCTGTTATTCTGCTATTGATTCCTTCTAGTGTATTTTTTTATTTCAGTGATTGTGTTGTTCATCTCTGTTCTTCAAATCTTCTCTTTTTTAAACATTTCTTATATCTTCTTGGTCTGTTCCTCCATTTTTTTCTGAGATTTTGAATCATATTTACTATTATTACTCTGAATTATTTTTCAGGTAGATTGCCTATCTCCTCTTCCTTTAGTTCTCATGAGTTTTTATCTTATTGCTTTGTCTGCAACATATTTCTCTGTCGTCTCATTTTGTCTAACTTTCTGTGTTTGTGGTCTCCTTTCCACAGGCTGCAGGATCATAGTTCCTCTTGCTTCTGGTGTCTGACCCCTGGTGGGTGAGGTTGGTCCTGGAGCTTTTGTAGGCGTCCCAGTGGGAGGGACTGGTGCCTGCCCTCTGGTGGGTAGAGCTGGGTCTTTTCCCTCTGGTGGACAGGGCTGTGTCAGGGGGTGTGATTTGAGGTGGCTGTGAGCTCAGTGCAACTTTAGGCAGCCTGTTTTCTGATGGGTGGCACTGTGTTCCTATCTTCTTTGTTGTTTGGCCTGAGGCTTTCCAGCACTGGAGCCTGTAGGTTGTTGGGTCGGGCTGGGTATGGTGCCAAAGTCGGGACCTCCTGGAGCATTCATGCCAATCTGTATTCCATGGGGCCTCCACTACCAGTCTCCTTGCCCCACACAGCAATCTACAGCTGACCCTTATCTCCCCAGGAGAGCCTCCAAGACCCCTAGGTAGGTCTAACACAGGTTCCTATGGATGTACTGCTTTTTGCTGGTCCCAGTGCACATGAGACCTTGTGTGCACCCTCCAAGAGTAGAGTCTCTTTCCCCCAGCCCTGTGGAGTTCCTTCACTCAAGTTCTGCTGGTTTTCAAGGCTAATGCTCTGGGGGTTCTTCTTCCCAATGCCAGATCCTCAGACTGTGTCTTGGAGGGCTATTTTTATGTGGGAACGTTTCTGTGTGGCCTGCATGGGTTTAAATTTTTTTGGTGCTAGGGCTGTTTTTAGTATAGGTGTCTGCCACCCCTTTCCTCAGTGTATGCTGTCCATTATCCCCTTGATAGGAGGTGTGACTGATGTTGTAGTGAAAAGAGCCTGCATTGGATATTGAACCTCCCCTTTGTTCTGTGGTTGTCACTGCCCTGTCGGGTGGGGTCTGCTCCCTAGTTCTTGGAGTAGAGGCCCCCAGATCTGTTTCTTGGCTGTGATTCTGATCTGTGGTGTGAGTTAGGTGGGACTGGAGCACTCCCATTGGGAGAGAAGCCACTGAGTATCCCTCCTCTGGAGGTGTTCACCTGTGGGTGTGCTCTGTTGTGTCACCTTTCACCTGTTGTGCAAGCTCTCAGATTACACTGTTGTTGGCACTGCTCTCAGCCCCACCTTAACTGTGTGGGTGTGCCGGCATTTGGCCTGGTGTCTCTTAGGTGCTGTTTTCGCCAGGCCACTAGTGTAGATCCACTGAAGTCAGGTTCCAGGATTGCAGTAATCATGGATCTACATCCACTGTGGGTGCTATGGTGTCAGCTCGGACTCTGGCCTGGCCCAACACCCATGTGTACGTGTCCACAAAGTCCACAGCTGCTGAAGCTAGACCTGTCTCAGCTGTAGGAGCACTTGTTGTCTGTTCAGATGTTCTGCAGGTGCTGAGTTTACAAAGCCAGTTGCAGGGGTGTAAATCCGCAGTTTGTGCAGCAGTAAGGGGAGATTTCATCTCTTCTTCCTTAGTTGCACGGTCCCTGGGGCTCAGCTGTGGTTTCAGCCCCACCTATGCATGTGGGCCACCCACAGGCATCTGCTCCTGAGGCTGCCCCAGAGCACATGAGCCTGCCCTGGTGGGAAGGGGGCACAGAGGAGGCGGCGGCTGGGGGACACCCATGGCAGGGACTGGTGCGTGGGGAGAGAGGCTGCAATGGCCATGATTGATTTATTAATTCAAGGCATTTTTTGCTGAGCACCAGTTATGTATCCTGCACTGTGTCAGACATCATGGGGGATACCAAAAAAAGTGTGATCCACAGTCCCTCGGCTCAAGTTGCTTCCAGTCAAGTGGGGAGACCAGAGATACACACAAGAAAGCAGAAATAACAAGACAACAACAAGAATAGCATCATGAGGATATGATAAGCTCGGAGACAGGTGCCAA